GGGGCAGGAGTGGAGCCCGGGGCCTGCGGGCTGCTGTCAGGTGTTCACATCGGCCCTTTGTGCCGGCCCGCAAACAAGTGTCGGATCAGCAAAAGTCTATTAAAGGCTGGTGGGCTTTTCACAAGCAATTGGCAGCGGGTCACTGACTTCACTGCTCCGACTCTCTGGACCCTCTTTGTGTCGCCGGCGTGCCGTGACAGATCCCGGCAAGATTAATGATTTTTAGCGAGCATTTCTTTTTTATTTCCACCAGCTCTCCTCCTCTTCTGCTCATCCGCCTCTGTCACCGCGCTCTCTGTCTCCCAGCTCAGATTATTCACCTTTGGAGAGTTTGCGCTTTCCTCTCATTTCCCATCGCTTTCCCTCGCAGCCTGCATCAAAGTCTGGCAGAACTTTCTGTCGAACTCTAGCAGCACTCGCTGAATGTTAATCATATTGTTTTTCGGAAGTGTTGGAGAGACACAGTAAATTGTAGAAAGACTACCCTAATTCACACACTATATAGTGAGTTAAGTGCGCTTTAATGCCTCAAATCTGTTCCCGAGCCTCGCTTTTCTATCAACTGATCTATTTCCCATGTTTAAAATAAAGTGCTTTTTATTTTCTTATTACGCAGACAATATTATTTTTATGCCATACTATAATGAATTTTGGATTAGGCGCAACATATAAAGTGCATAAAAGATAATTTTGCAGTACATTTAACTTGTGCTGTACGATTTGTACTGTTGCGACAACATAAAACGTTTGTTTAATCAGTTTTAGTCAAAACAGGCGTAATTTGGGGCTATATTTGCTAAATATCACGAATAATACAAACATCTTGAATTGATAATATAAAGAATACGCTTTATATTTCACCGCTTTGAGATTTGCTGTGAAATAAACGCATGGCTTTTTCGCATAATCACACTGAGTGGAAATAAAGTGCGTCCGATTATACGAATAATAAAGCCCATATAATGACCGCTTAATTTGGCACAATGTCAAGCTGGAAAAAGCAGCAATCTAAAATATTGTTTTCCAATCATTTGTATGTTCTAATACCCCTGTATTTTAGGTCTCTTTTGCGTGCATTCATATAGTAAATTATAGATATTAATAATAAAGACAGTATATAACGATGATTGATGATAATAGGGTGGTGATTATCATGTAGGTCAGACAGAATCCTTAAAGCAGAAATAAACCATAATTCCATGTCTAATAGCTGTATCCTTAACTTTTCCCTTCATCAGTCATTAAGATAGCATAATTCAAAGCCTTCTTATAGTGACAGAGCCGTATTTCATAAAGGCGAGCACTAAACTGTTTTCAACTGAAACAGGCTGTGATTGTGTTAATAGACGTGCATTTGTGATAATACCGTGCAAAGTAGGCTACTAGTATTTATCTCTTCTATGTGGCACAGTATCAGAACAAAGTGTCCGATGTTGTAATACACTGTCAAAAATAAATTGATGGAAGAAAAAGCAATGCATGCAGTTTTCAAATTAAAATACTATTTCTCTTAAAATGCAATCACAAATAAGCCATTGGTTTGTGGGTAAATAGTGAATTTGTCTCAAACAGTGGAAGTGTAATGTTAATTAAATGTCACTTTTCGAATAAAACAAATTTGACTTTTTTTTTTTTCACGGAACCTGAAATTTATTTATTTATTTATTTATTTATTTATGTATGTATTTATTTATTTATCAATCAGTCAGTTGATCAATCAAATTGTTTGTTTGTTCTTTGCAAAAAACAAAAAACAAAAACAACAACAACAACAACAACAACAACAACAACAAAGCGCCAGATTGATTTGCGCTCTACTCAGGTTTTGTCCACTAGGGGCGTCATATTCTTGTAAATCTTTCGGCTTCAGGTTGTGAAGTTACTGACTTTGTGAAAGTGGATCGCTCTCTGATTTCATCCAGCGTCCCTGCGCGACACATTTGATATCAGATCGACTGCACTTGGATTCGTCTGTCTTCTTTTTGCATGTATCAGGGCAATGTGAGTCTAAATATGTGTCTTGATTCCTATATCGATATTACATAAACTGCTGTCCTAATTTTCGTGTATGTTCATGCATAGCTGTTTCTATCTTAAGAGACATCTAAGGATACTTTTAAAGACATTTTACGCGCATTTATACGTTGATAATGTTTTATAGTGCAACCACTTTCGTTTATTTTCGTAATTTCACAAGTAGGCTATTTGTATTAAACGAGTATCAAACGCTTTCCATTGATAATCCATTATAGGCTACATCACAAGAGAACACTTTTTCATTGGTTTGAGACGTGAATAAAATGTGTACATTGTACTTTTCAATTTTCCTTATAAATATGAAATTGCATGACATAACTTTGACTGGCCGTAAGAATGTGACTCTTCGAGATAAGTTGTTCTGCCACGTCTTGATATTAGTAACGCTAAATCGGTTCAATTTTTTTTTTTAGCTATATATATTCGTGTCTGTTACATATTGATAACCACCTCTCCTAATAGATGATGTATTCTGTTTTCCTCTGTACTCTTCTAGAAAGCAGAGCACAAGCCTTTTCGCAACCGCCCATTACCTGTGTGTGTCCCAAGAGGAGGATGCAGAGGAAACAAGAGAAGAGAGAATCTTTTTTGTCTGTCTGTCTCACTCTCGTTCCCACACACACGCACTGGTCTGATGAGTTCATTCAGTATTAAATGTGCATTCCCCCCCGAAAGTCTTCTGCAATGTTATGAACTGAAAACAACAAAAACGCACTCGACTAGGCTTGTCTTCACACTTGCAAAAGTCATGAATATTTCATACTTATCTTAATGTCCACGGCTGAGCGTCCTATGTATGTCCTTAAGAGCGGTTAAAAAAAAGGTAGTCAAAAACAGCATCCTTTCCAGGCCCAGTAAATTTCCGAGGCCTGGGACATTCACCGGCATGCGGTCCACAGCCTCTCCCTTTGACAACTGCTCTATGAAACATCTCTGAGCTGATTTTATTTCTCTTATTCATTCCTAAAAATCGTAGGATGGGAATCTCATTAGGCCAAATAAGCGTGCATCAACACTTTTTCCGCTGTCCATAAGCAAGAGGATCACTTAATAGATCATTAACCACCAATATGCTGCTGACATGAGAGTTTTTCAGCATCTCGTCTCCATTAGAGAGAGAGAGAGAGAAAGCAGCAGCGGCGAGTCTGAGAGAATCAGAGCGCATGACTGTACGGGCCCGGTGCCGCGTGACGGGGGCCCGGTACCGGCAGACTGAACAGGTCTCCTCGACTGATCTGTGATCTTTTGGAGTGACGCGGTGTGATATCTGGCTTTTAGGGGTTTGTATTAGTAAACATCGATAATATAAGTAGGCTAACAGTTATAGTTAACGTGGAGATGCGATGCAGTGACATTTTCATTTTTATTTGTTTGTGACATGGGTGAGTAAAATTCACAATAACCGACAGAGGGAAAAATAGTGATAGTGGATAAATAATTCGAATACAATTATATATACAACATATATTAAATGTGAAGGATTCGTGTGTATTGGTAAGTGGCGCTTAAACAATATAAACACGTGCATCATTTATTAGTGAATATTGCTGAATAAACTGACTGGACTGATTGTGTCCGTCATTTTTCGCAGGATCATTTCTGCGACTCGTTCTTAAAGTTCATTCTAATCATACCTGATCAAAGACGACAAGACATAATATTAAATGGCGAATCTTAAAATTGCATCTTGCGTCAAGAGTCAAATAAAAATAGCGAAAATGAAGGGAAGGAAAAAATGCAATTAAATGAAGAAAGAAATGCATGCATTGAAAAAGGAATAAAAACAATAGTTCTTTAGTAGCCTACTAATTAGCCACATTGGCATTATACTTACAGAAATGGCCAATATTTAAGCAGTTTTAATAAATACTTAATGTGTTTGTGTATATGACTTGTGCCTAACAAAAATAATAAATAGTCTTAAACATAACGCTGTAACCGTGCCTGTTATGAAACAGTGCGTCACAGTGCGTCTTTTACTCTAAGACAACAGTTTTAGGTCTCAACTTTTCAGTGCACAGTTATGCAAAATATTTATTTATCCTCATTATTCCTTACAGTTTCTTCAACTCACTTATCTTACAGTCTTGACTAGCAGTAGCGCACGAGTGGAGCGCGCGGCAGCTGGGCGCCACATGAGGGCAGCGTTGGGTGAGTTTTCCTGAATCTAGCGTCACCCGCAGCGCAGTTCCAGCCTTTCACATCAGCTCGTGCTGAAAATACAAGAGTCAATAAATATCGCAATAACACATACACCTGATGGGTCCTCATTCACGCCAAGCACCATCCTCATTAACATAATCTACAACGACGATTTTGAATATCTCTATGATGTTTTGCAATAGCTTATATATTTTAATAAATAGTCTATGCTAAGTAATACACCTTTTTGTTCTTGTAAATGACACAAACACGTATATGTTTGTTTAATTGAGTAATGTTTACACAGCGGATAAAGGCTACTATTATCAAGATTTATCGACAATTATTGAAGTAAGCTATTGCGCAAACGTTGGTTGATGCAACAACCTGCTGCTGCATGTCACAGACTGTATGGTCTATACTTTAAATAAAACACTTTCACAAAGCATCTCAAGGTTTGCTTTCATTTTAAACGCGCATTGAAACTAATTTAGAGCCTATGTGTTTTTTTAAATTCTAATAAAGGGAAAATATCTGGACGCAATAAATGGAGTAAAACTTTTTCTTTTTTTTTTTAAGGACGTTACGTTTTGAAAATATGCCCAGTTACAGTATGCTTGACTTTGCATGCAGTACAGAACAAATGGCTTCTCGTTAGGCGCGCACATATCCAATCAGTCAATACACGAAATACCACTCTCTCTTTCTTCATCCCGTCAGCCGACAACACACAAACAACGATCATTATGCTAATTCTCCAGCTCTGACTGGTCGCCAGCCTCCTCTGACGTCACGCGCGCGTAGACTATAACAGCGCAGAGGGCTCTGGCGTCCTGCTACAGTCTGAATACTCAGGAGTGAGTGCGAGCTGAACTCTGCGGTGCAGAGCTGGACAAACACAGCACCCATCCACCTCAGCGCTGCTTCACTGGCTTAAGGACATATTTTGGAGTATCCGGGATCGGGACGGGAGCCCTTGTCCGGTACCCATTTTCGTCTTTTATTTATGTTTTGAGTTCAAGCGCGGCGACGGGACAGAAACTTGACTTTCTCCAGTCCTGCCTAAAGACTGCAGCTGTCGCGTCCATATGAGGCAAATGTCTTTCGCAGTGCATTAGTCCAGAAAGTTTTTTTTTAATTATTATTATTTATTTATTTTGCTTTCTCCCGTTTGAACATTTCGAGCGACTCTGCATGCTCCAGCGCTCGAGCGCGTCGCGTTCGGAGACCCATCCAGAAAACTGCATGCGCAAAGAGGGGGAAGAAAGGCAAAAGTCGGGTTTCGCGACGCTGGTGAACACTTTGCTGAAGAACAGGGACACGATGAGCGCCGATCTCGCCATGGGGCCCGAGCTGCCCACCAGCCCGCTGGCGTTGGAATATGTCAATGACTTTGATTTGATGAAATTCGAGGTGAAGAAAGAGGCAATGGCGGGGCTCGACCGCTCCAACATCCGGCAGTGCAATCGCCTCCAGCCGCAGGGCTCCGTTTCCTCCACTCCGATCAGCACCCCCTGCAGCTCGGTGCCGTCCTCCCCGAGCTTCAGCCCCACGGAGCAGAAGAACCATCTGGAGGAGTTGTACTGGATGCCCAGCGGCGCGTATACGCAGCAGATCGATCCGCAGACGCTAAGCCTGACGCCCGAAGACGCGGTGGAGGCTCTGATCGGTGCCACGGCGCACGGCCATCCTCCGCCCCCTCATGTGCAGCAGCAGTTGCAAGCAGGAGGCTTCGAGGGATACAGGGGAGCGCACCATCACCACCACGGCCATGCGCAACAGCAACAGCAGCAGCAGCAGCACCACCAACACCAACACCAACAATACGGCGCGATCCCCCATCACCCCGATGACATGCCAGGTCACCATCATCACCACCACCTGCACCACCACCACCACAGTCAGGACCCCGACAGCCCCTCTCCTACCTCGCCTGGGTCCCACCAGCAGCTCCACCACCGTCACCACCACCACCACCCCGGCCAGCAGGGTCACCACGGCGCGGGGGGCGGCCTGAGCGTGGAGGACCGCTTCTCCGACGACCAGCTGGTGTCCATGACCGTGCGCGAGCTGAACCGTCACCTGCGGGGCTTCACCAAGGACGATGTGATCCGCCTGAAGCAGAAACGCCGGACCCTGAAGAACCGGGGCTACGCGCAGTCGTGCCGCTTCAAGCGTGTGCAGCAGAAGCATGTGCTGGAGAACGAGAAGACGCATCTCATCAACCAGGTAGAGCAGCTCAAGCAAGAGATCAACCGGCTGGCCCGAGAGAGAGACGCCTACAAACTCAAGTGCGAGAAGCTGAGCGGAGCGAACGGGTTCCGCGAGGCCGGATCCACGAGCGACAACCCGTCCTCTCCAGAGTTCTTCATGTGAGTGTGTGTTTCCTATGCCTGAGAGACTTTGCGCTCATTCAGATAACAGCAGTACTCATAGTAGAAGAATAATCCACAAGAAATAATAATCTCATATGTAATCATCGCCACCGATCTTGGCAACTAAAATGCGAAGAACATGTTAGAATGTTTTCTGGGAAATGTAGATTAGTTGCTTGTAGTAGGGCTTTTACCCATTTCGTAGAGATCTCACAACAAAAAGAAAAGCGAAGAACTGGCTTTTGTATTTATGATAACTTCAGATAAAGCCTTCTTTCCATCATCTGGTTTGTTCTCGGTTGTTCAGGAAAAATAAAATAAAAAAAATAAAAATGTTTGTGCTAAGCGGGGACAGACACTTTGGACTTTTTTCCCACTTGGCCAGAAAAGTTGAGAGCACCACAATATGCAAACCTCCCTTACTTCTCCTGTGTAACCCGCCCGAGTGAGGCGACGGGGGAACTTTATGCAACATCTCATTGGTTTATTGCCTGCTTGGTTATATATAGATATATATTAAAAAAAGGGGGAAAAACGACAAAAACAAACACATAAATCTGCATTAAGATATTAATCCTGCATGCTGGACATGTATGGTAATAATTTCTATTTTATACACTCTCTTCTTTCTTTCTTTCTTTCTTTCTTTCTTCCTATTCATTATGTATCATAAAGAGCATGTTTTTGATCTTAAGCTCTTTTTTGGGGGATATGAGACTCATTGTATGGGTTAATTTGGACTTGTAAATATATGCAACAGCAAACCTACAAACCGACATCGAAGAGCTGATTGTTTTCCAAACTTTTCTGATTAGTTTCATGTTTTGGGAATGGATTTCCAGTAACGGGCATTTTGCAGTTGCATTTAAAGCAAGCAAACTTTGTAAAAGAAGCGCACTTTCTGGGGTAATTATTTTGGTATTGGCAGAGCTTTTGATTGTTTCTTTGTTTTAGCAGAAACCGCCTTTGAGGAAGACATACCGCACACGCACATTTAGTCATAGGTGAATTTAAAGCACGCCTTTCATTTGAAATGTGCTCATAGTCTCACGTCTAGTTGTAGCAAGACACAAGTGTGTGTGTGTGTGTGTGTGTGTGTGTGTTTTCTTTCTTTTTTTCTTCTTCATGCAGGCTGTTGCATAATCTATTGCTATTCTATAACATAAGCAATACTTATAGGTCGTATATTTTTTGATGGGTAGGATTCCAACGAACGGGCACACTTTCATCGACATTTTGTTGAGCTATATGAGCTGCCAACATTTCAAACTGTAGTTATTATAATCCAGCTCGAGGGTGTAGGCTTCCTAAATCAGGGGTTTGTGTATTATTGCCTAACATGAAAACTACGCATGCATTTCAATGGAGAGTTTCAATGATCAATGTTAAATGTTTTCCTTCATTTTTTTTTCTGCCGGTCAGTAAAAAATAAGGGATTCAGGTTCTGCATAATCTCAAAATGAAAAAAGTATATGTCTCATGTTATTGTTCTGTTTATTATGATTTTTTTTGTTTTAATTTCTTTTATTTGTTTTATTATTATGTCGAGATTCTGGTTCTGCTGGCCAGATGCATAGTTTTTATTTTAATGATTAAATTAACAAGCTGTCAGATCATATTGAATAAGCATGGTGCTTGCATCTAAGAAACATTGTTAAAAAGTCATGCATTTAACAATCTTTTTGGTTTATTACTGATTCAACTGTGTTGAAATCAAATGTAAACTGCAGCAGCGGGTTGTTGTTTTGTTTGTTAATTTCATGTATTATGAGGGGATCAATTTTCAAATCTGTTTATATAAATGGAAAAAAGAATAGAGTTCAATTCGGACTGTTCCATTCAGGCTGGTTTCTGTTTCGTTTTTGCTGTTTTTGGAAGAAATGGTTTCCTATTTTGCTTATTAAAGTCAGTGAAATGGCATTGATTTCGTAGCCACTCATTTTATGCGTCAATTCCTGTGTCTGTCAAAGTTATGCAACATTCCAGACTTAACTGTATGCCGCATTGTTATCACGCATCACTGCATTCCAGTAATCAATTAGTCATCAATCAACTTTTATTGAAAATTTGGCAGAGGAACGATATTTCCGTGGTGTTGTTTGAGCGGGTGGTGTCCTGCAGACTGTCTCTCGCTGAACTTTGAGCTCAAACGACCCACATGCAGAAATGCGCTCTTGCTGTTAACGCCGGGACTCGTATTCGAGGGTTAAACTGACGTTTTATTTAAACAGAATTACATATAGACCATTACTTGGTAAGAAAAAGATAACATAAAAAAATAAAAAATAAAAAAATCGAAGACACGTCTTCTTTTTCAGAGGTTGAACTACTTTTTATTAGTTTATAGCGGGTTACTTAAACAGGCTATGACATAAAAGGATGTTTTAGATTATTTTACATAATTTGAAAGAAAAAAAAAAGAGAACATTAAAGCTAAAAGCAGTCTCGCTCTCTCTTGGTGTGTGTTTAGGCCTTCAGTTGTGTTGCGCCCTGCAGGATTTGCAGCGCCTGCAGAAATCCGGCGCGCACGTGTGCTCGGTAAAACGAGATCTTTGACCTTGCGCTCAAAGCCCAGACTGTGGGAACAGGACAATTAACCCTTCCGACACAACAAGCATTTTCATATTTCAAACTTATTTAATGACTAGCCTGGATATCTGCTAATATTTATATATATATAAATTAGGCGCATTCGGTTTTAGGATAACACGCGGACAATTCTAAACAGATATAGTATGTATATATGTAACTATAGTTTACTCGTATAGTGCATATTTCTTACTGAGATATTATTTTGAATCAATTTCTGTATGGGTGCATACCTTAAATATTTTTGCCTATATAAAAAATAGATAGCGTTCAGTATTGTCTCTTGTCTTGTATGCCAATAATAATAATAAAAAAATTAAGTAGACATCCAGTTAGGCACTGATTTCTAACTAACATCATTCCATGTTAAAGAGGATTCAGAAATGGATGAACGTTTATGAGTGTGACTAGCGCACAGCTATGGTCTTTACAGTAAGTTAAGCCTGTTTTGAGAGCTTTGCCGCTCTTGTCCAGAGCACGAGAGAAGGACAAGGGAGAGTGTTGTTTGGCTTTCCTGACGGTTTTCAGTTTCTGGTGTCAGAACATTATCTGCCATGTGTCTGCACAATCTCAAGGGCAGGGCAAAAGTATAGCGAGGCCTGAGCCAAGAGCACAGCTCCCACAACAACCTATATTAAAGACCACATTATTGCCCAATAACCCACCCGTAATAATAATAATAATAATAATAATAATAATAATAATAACATTACTGACTGTATGCATAGAAGACATGCAGTGCAAAGTGTTTATTTCATAATTCCTTTATTTTTTTTGTGCTCATGCATTAATAGTAATGATGTAAGCAGTGAACGCTGTTATGGGAGTAACAATTAAAATGTGCTGCAATTCGATTTAATCGTTGTAAATGTCGACAGAGATAATTGCGCAGTCAAAAAAGGAACATGCATAGACCAAGCTTTTACATTCTCCTTAGGATTAAATGTTCAAGTATTATGAAATTTTAGTGTCAAATGGAAAAATCAATTACACTCACTGTTGCTTTTGTTCAATAAGCTCACAAATTGTTATTGATTCTAATCGTTAGCATCTTCTGTACACTGTAGAGTGGAATGCTGTTTCTTGATTTTTTGATTATATATTCCTCTTTGCGCAAAGATACTGCATGCAAAGAAAAGAGCAAAAGAAGGAAGGAAAAAGAGTAAAAGTAAGTAGAAGGGTATAAGAATGATAGAATGTGAAACGCATTGACGTACTGACCCCAGTGCACTTGAAAGCCCTGAGACCTGAGTGCTACTGGCATGACTTTCAAGTACTTGTGTAGAACAGGTGTACACGCAGAATATACATGCACAAAATCTGTCACCGAAGACTGACGGAAACACGCACAGAATTGTAATGCAACGGCGGCATGCATATCAACAATCATGCAATCAGATCACATACGGGCAACAAGGACGCACGCAGATTTACACAGCATTACAGATGAAGAGAAACACATACATTCTTCCACCCTAACTCATAACAGCATACAATATCTGTCATACGTAATTAGAGAGAAGACCTCACAGATCCATACAGCCTCACCTCAGACTGTCAGTTGATGCTGCTATCAAAGGAGATTTCACTAATCGTCCTCGCGCCAAGGAGAAGCTCAAGCTTAACACTGAAGCGTCAACACTCACCACTTTTGCTTTGTCTTGTATTTCAAATATTTATATATCAGTTTCCCTTCACAGGGCTATTATATGTCGCTCAGAAAGTATGGGTCAGACTGCAAAGTTACACGCTGAAATTTAGAACTGATGCTATAATAGTTATGGACACTTGCATTTTTTATTTTTATTTTTTTCAGAACAAGTGGCATCTTTTAGGGTTTTGAACACATCATAGGCCTAATTTCTAAAAACCACTGATGGTTGACTGTGTCAATGTTATAACAGTGTTTATAACATATTTATGACAATGCATTGTTGTATAATAAAACATTTTGATGTGTTGAAAAAAAAAATGCTTATTCCAAATAGAACATTCAGGTTAAGATAATCACAAGTTGTATGCATGGAAATGTATTATTCAGATTGTCTGAGATTGGATAATCGCATGCATAATCGCATGCATATGCAAAACTAGTAAATAAATGGCTGTTCTGGTTTCAGTTCAGTGTAATTCTAATCTGAATTTCAGGAATAAGAATTCAAACTGATATAAACATTTAATTCATAAAACGACTTGAACAACAGTATTCAACTGTACAATTTCTAGTTTCTTGGTATCTTACCACTTGTTAAATTCTATTTATATTCTCATTCCTCATCTGCACTAACTACAATATTTACCTTGGTAGCATGCATCCGGTACACTCGCTGTGATTTACAGACTTTGCTGCACATTTAAAAAGAGGCATTTATATAATATATAAACCAATGACTAGTGACCTATTTCAAGCTGTTTGCTAATTGCACTCTCAGGTTTACATCTGGACAGCTGAAAGAGCTGCTGATCAATTGCAACATGAACACTGTGTTTTCACGATCAGTCTACAGACAACCTACAGACAACCATCAAAGTTTAGAAAGTGACGTGTGCATACAGTCGTACTTCCAGTATGTAAAGCCATGACTCCAGCAGTTTTCCAGGTAAGTTACGTTTACAGGAAGACCAGACATTCATCACAGGAAAACACATTTTCTTCACTCAACCATTCTGGGAGAAAGTTCCTCTCTGGCATAAGCATGAGCGATGCCAAGCCTGGGCATCCAGGTCCAATTTATTTATTTTTTCCCTTCACCTTGTCTTTACCACTAGGTTTTCATACTTGGCCACCATTTTTTGTAACCAGGAAATATCATTTGGAGCTTTAATTCTGGCCTTCAGATGTAATCTCACTAGTCAAAGTTTTGACTATTGGTATAAAATGTATATTGCAGTTATTCTGTATGTCATTTAAATTATAGCACAGTGATGTGTTCTGCAGGCAACTCTGAAGAAATTAGAGGAAACCGTGTGTTGACTTTGGTCAGAATTCTCCTCTTTATTTTCCAGAAGTTATAAGTACCAATTATTTCAGAGATATACTGTAACTCAAAACAGTGAGTGAATTTACAGCTGTGCTAGATGAATTTATTGACAAACTTTAAAACAAGAGCCTGGGCCATTTGCAGGTTTTTCTTTTTTTCTTTGAACCATGCAAAATGTGACAATTCAGACAAACTCATTTATATTGGGACCTTCTCAGTTTTAGCCACCATAAAACTGAAAATGTAATTTAAAAATAATAATAATAAAAAGATTCATTTAAATGTTGAACTAATGTAAATTTCAACTTTTGAGTGCATGTTCCAGTATTATATGAAGGACATCATAGATGTGATAATCAATGGAGTAATTGTTTGAATTTGGATTTGACTGATTTATTAACTGATCCACTGATGCTCATTCATTCATTCATTCATTCATTCATTCATTCATTCATTCATTCATTCATTAATTCCGATGCAAATCCTTCTGTTAGTTATTTTTTGGGATACAATGTGTAATGATCTGCTTTATGCACTTTGTGCTGATGAAGGTGGCACCCTCTCAGTCTCTTTTCACACTAGTTTGTTGCATGTGTTTGTGTTTGAGGTTTTATGTTACAGGGAAACATGCTCATCACTGTCAACATCTGCGAGTGCTTTGGAGGTACAAAGCTTCAAGACCAATTAAAGAAAAAGAAAGCAAGAGCTCTACCAACACAGACGCATAAACACTGATCTACAGGAACAAACCTCAACAAGTTATCCACTACAAAGTTTTGCATTTGATCTTAAATTTCTACGTCTAAAGGACATATATGTAATAGATTTTACATGTATGATACATTCTGATTAGACAAGCTGAAGAAGTTAATATTGAGTAACTTACAGTATAGACATATCATTTCCAGAGGTTTGTCTGATTTTGTTCCATGAATACAAATCGTTCCAAATGAAGTAAAAAATGCTTCGTTCTCTGAACAACACAAACTAGTGGTGGTGTTTTGTTCTTGAATGAATATGTGTTTTGAACAAATTAGTTGAGTAAATTATTCAATGATTCGTTAACACAGATACACCTACGGGCGTAACAATGTTACCAGATCACTGACAAAACCTCACCATTATGTTATTATTATGTATTATGTATTTAAGATGTGCGTGTGTGTGTGTATACTGTATATAGTTGTCATAGCACAAAGAGGCCAATCTTCTTGGCACAAAAAGCCCCCTTGGCCA